TAATTTAATATACTATTCTTTTTAAGTTCATGCTTATTAAAATCCCACACTGTTGACATTATTTTTGGCCATAATCCAAATATCTCGTGAAATTTAGGTTAGCCCTAAATTCATATGCTTAAGCTAACAATTCAAAATAGACCTTGTAATAAAAATAAATAATAATAAGAATTGAATATAATAAAAATATATATACATATATATTAAATATTTTAACCAATACCATTAATAAAATAAATATTAAAAAGAGTATGGTCTAACTTACTTATTTACTGTTGGGATTGATATAGGCCTACCTGAAATTGTAAATTGAACTTTACTCATTGTTTCCTATATTACAGTCTAATTTACACTAATTATATCTGGTTAATACAATTACTTATCTATGTTTTTTGCAACACAAGTTGAATATATAAACTAAATTCTCTACCTTCAGATGCTGATATAAAAGGTGACCAGCATTCACTTGAGAGAAAATTGGATGCCCATCTTCTGCTTGTGGTCAAACAAAAACTTGGGAATGACCACAGATGGGTGCTACCCCAATGTATTAGACTAGAGGGAGAAACAATGAGGCAGGTAGGCTGGTTCTTCAAAATAAAAAGGAAGAAGTTAGAACAGTGGTTCCCAAACTTGGGGTCCCGAGTTTGGCAGACAAAATAAATCGCATGCAGCAAATAAAGCTGAATGAGCCGGTTAAAATACATTTTTGAACAGGTCCTACAGGTATCTAAGATGAGGTTGGCACTGAAAAAAGTTTGGGAATCACTGGATTAGACACTTAAGGTAATGTTTTTAATAATAAGTTTTGTAGATTGCTAAATGCATCTGAGGTATAAATGTTTTTACATGAAATACTGTTGGATTTGACTTTGTGAAGCACTTTTGATTTGTTAAATGATAGTGGCAGTATTTTTTATAAATACTCCAGGATTGGAATTGTTTCTATACTAAACACACATATTGTCTGAATATATGCAGATGCTCAAAAATCAATAAAATGGTTTTTATAGAATTTAAAGTATTTCTGTCTGTGACATTTTTGAAAATAACTGACAACTTCATTGTGAAATACCTTTTAACGTAAAGGTGTATGTATGAATGATGTTAAACTGAAGGATAAAGATCTAGAATGCCAGGTGTGCTACAGAGAAGTATCTAGTTGGTTCTTATCTATATGTTGTGAAAGATAACTACACCAAAGTAAAATATTTCCATTTACTTATTATGAAAAATTTTATTTTGTAGAAGAGCTAAACATATTCATAAAATTACCTAAGTTACCTTTTTCTAATATGTGACATAACAACAATCAGAAGTTACAGTAGGTAATTTTTATATATTTTAGTAAAAACATTGTTTTAAAAACGTTGCTCTAAATGCAAGGTAGATTGAACAAATGTACTAGATTCACTAACAAGGTTTATTGTTTAGTAAACCTTTCCTCTCTGTTAGTTTGGTTTTGGAGGGCCTTGTGTTGTTAAACATCACGTATTTTAGGTATTTGCATTTTGAGAATCGTAATTATTAACTAATTTTCCATCTGGTACACACTAAAATAATTTTTCAAACCATGAATTTGTATTTATAATTGCTTATAGTCTTTATAAACATGATTCACTTTCAGGCAGCCGAACGGGTGCTTTATGAAACCTGTGGACACAACTTAAAGGCCATCTTTCTAGGAAATGCCCCTGCTGGGTTCTATAAGTACAAGTATCCAAAAGCGGCTCGAGGTAACGGTATTCTTGGAGCCAAGGTAAAGTTGCATAGATGTAAGCTTATGGTATAACTCTAAATGAAGAGGAATTTTGGTTGTGCTCAGTGTTGCATTTTAAAATTAGGAACTATTTGATAAAAGATACTAAATACACTTATTACTAGGATGGAAAGGAGTAGATTCTGATTGGTATTAAGGTAGATATACACAAAGTGTTGAAACTTAGAGCATACATCAACATTTACTTGAGAAATGGAAAGGAGTAGATTCTGATTGGTATTAAGGTAGATATACACAAAGTGTTGAAACTTAAGAGCATACATCATTGTTGTGCTTGGCTGAAATACATCAACATTTACTTGAGAAAGCTCCACTTTGAGCATGTTATGTATATGAATGTGTTATTGAAATGGTAAAATGGGCACCAAAGTATTCTCTCTTCCTCAGTAACTGAGAATCCCCTTAACAACCCTAGGTGACATTATGAAGTGTGAAATTTTCATCTCTGTAAGACTGATAGGAGTAGATTAAGTTACCATCTTTGGAATCATTTTGATATTAAGAAGTTACAGTTGAGTGACAGAAATAATTTTAGAGATTGCAAGTCTTTTAAATATATATTGGAGTTTATGTATTATTTAAAAACTTCAATTATTACACTGTCATAATGTTGACATATAGCAATAAAAAAGTTATTGAATACATTTTGAAGGGTCTGTTCTTCTCTCAATGCTTTTTAGGTATTTTTCTTCAAAGCCCAAATCAGGAACGGAAATGTCAGCCAGAAGGCTATCCAGAACAACACTGATGTTGAAGATTTTCTCTGGCTGACCCGCCAGGAACTGACCGACAAGCTGCAGCAGGATTACCTGAAGACTGTACACACATTTCTAGTTGATGATGATGATGAAGTGGGCTTGAATTATGAGCTGGAGGAAGAAAGTGAAGAGCACAGACAGACAAGCAGACAGTGGAATTAATCATACCTCCCAGTTTTTAAAGTGAGATCAACTTAAAGCTTTTTATTGGCATCAAACTGTAAGTAATTGATAGTAAATTGTACAGATTCTAAAAGCAGAAAAAAAGTCATGATTGGTAGATGTAAAGAACAACTTTGAAGTAAAACAAAGATTATCATTACCAACTGTTGTGTTTTTTACTTTTTTAAACTACATGGATGGTGTTAAGGCAGGATACTGAATATATATGACCAAGTAACTGAACAGTTGAACATCAGTATGTCAAAGTGCCAGGGACTTTGGGAATTTAATCGAGATAGCAAAGGATTGAGGTAGTTGAACTGAGACCGTGACCTTAGTTTTGATCCACAGTAAATGTGAAAAGAAATAGGTGAGGGCTCAATTGAAACTTCTACATGAGGTGTGTGTTGGATGTTCTGAAGAAAACTATTACTTTAGTCATACCCTACTTAGGCACTATCTCTTACATGATTAAAAAGAAAATTAAGAAAACTATCAAAAGCTATATCCACAAGTCTGGGTAAAATGTCTTTAAAACATAATCTAGGTTGAAAGGGTTCTTCTACTTTAAAGATGAATAACTTGCTAGTGGTATAGGAGTTCACAGGCTTGGGGGTGCAACCAGAGATATAACCACTAAAAGGCTGTGTAGTTTAACAGTAAATTCTATAACACCATTAGTATTACTCACCAATGTCTAAACATGTGTGATGTTGTGCCTACCTCCTGTTTCTTCCACATCATTCATTCTTCATTCGAAGGAAGAATTCCAGAATCTCTTGCCATTAACCCCTTCTATATCAGGCCTTTTTTTTTGGAAATGAGGCAAAAAAAGGTTTTTTATTTTGCTTTTTTGATAGCCTCTTGTACTACATGATAACATGTGAATAAATTCAGGCAAATAATTAAAAATACAATGAGAAATGATTTGCCTAAATTAATTCGAGCAAGTATGTTTTGAAACATGAAAGGTGCCCGAGTTATCTTGGGCAAATCACAAAAGGAGCTAAGCTAAGAAAATCAGTTCTTAACCAGAAGGTGAGCACATTAACACTACACCTGCAATTGTGAAAACATAAGGAAAAGAACATAACTTGAACTTTGATCACTGAATACGAGGTGGACTAAAAAAACTTGTAGTTGGTCCTCTATAATGTCTATAACTACCAGTAACATTTTTCTACAGAGAAGAAACACTTGTTGTGGACATTTTAGTCATGTGGGAAAGTCCAATGTTTCTTTAAATCTCAACCTATAGTATGTCCTGCAATATTACAGAAGTTGTAACATGCCACCAGGTGTCATCTTACCAATAGTTGGTAAACAAGATGTACAGACGTGTCATTTGCAGTGCATTCACTGATCTCTGGGACTGAGTTACTTGATGATGTAAGAGTAATTCAATGTAAATCTCTGTGTTCACTGATTATTACAAGTGACTTAAAACGAAACAAAATAATAGTCCTGTGTGGGAGTATGTTGTAGCAGTTGGTGATTTTAAAGTGAAGTGTGAATTGAGTAGCATAATAACTTTACATGATGACAAAGAGAAAGTAGCTTCTAACATCACAATGCACAATCACCTGAAAAATAAACACTCTAAAAACTGAAGTATACTGCGTGTATTATATTGAAGTTAAGACTGTGGCCTGAAGTTCTAGGTTGGTCACCAAAAGACAATTCATCATTAGTTTGTTCATTTAATGAAGAAAGCACAACTACAGTACAAGCTTATGAAGCAAAACGTTTTTCTAAAAAAAATGTCCTAGATATATATATATATGAAAGATTGCCATTGCTTGTCAGATTCTGAAAATTAATTTCATTTATCTACTATCAGACAATCTGGTCATGCTCAACAACAAACTGTCATTTGTTTCATGTGGCTACATGGATTTACAACATCTTGCTTTTAATTTCAAGCATTTTCCTGGAAACCATATTGGTGATGCAAGAGGGAAAATGTTGGAAGACCTAATTAAAAAAAAAAGAGAGAGAAAGAGCACATTTTGTGAAAAGTTTAACAATGCTGGATGGTCAATTGAATCATGTTCTCTCCATATATTACAGGTGTTTATCACAAATGCTCTGGAATTTTGGCAAGATGTAGTTGATCATATAATAGTCCAGTAGAAAGTTTGTTTCACATTTCAACCACTTGTCTCTAGTATGTCATAAATTAACAGTTGCACATATTTAAGTATGCTTTAAAAGAACCTGTACAAGATGGAATTATATATATATATATATATATACTCTTTCCTTGAAAGACTTTTGGAACAAAAGAGAGCAACATGCTCCTGTGCCACTGACACCACCACCTCCAACAGTTCTTACTGGTGACATCTTTAAAATTACTAAAAACATAAGCTTCACAACGTCAATAATTTCAAAAGTTATTCCAATTGTGGCTACTCCTCATGTCTATCTGTTGAAGAACCCAATCTACTTTGAACTAGGAACAATAAAAGCATCCTTGAGAGAAGGGGTTTAAAGTAGATTTGCTGGAATATAAAACAATATTTTACTTCAGTTGATTTGTTGGGTCCTCACTTTAAAGTAGTTTATTTCATAGAGCAAGCAAACCAAACAGTTAACAGAATTTAATGGAGAAAGCATTGACACTGCCAATTCCATAATCAAATGTTTTGAAGTTAAGAGATGATGGAAGCAGTATAGAGGTTTCTTCTCCATTAGCACCAAAACCTGTTAAATGTTTACACCAGGAAACCTGACTCAATTGAGGATTGAGTCAGTGAAATATCTGCACACACTTATGGCATTCATGATAGTGGTCAAACAGGTCATGGCAAAGAAAGTGTAGTCTCAAGGGGTGAATGTAATCTGTTACTTTGGTGGAAACTAAACAGACATATTTCCTCTACTATCTCAGAGAAGATTCATATCCACTTCAACCAGGAGTGTGTGTAGTAAGTGTTTGTTCTCAGAAAAATCAGTAACATTTACCAGGTAAAAGAGAAGCTGGTAGTTTACATGAAGTGCAGAGTAGTTACTGTTTTTAGATCTCAACCTCAAACTTCATTCTTTTAAATACTGATCAAAAATACCTGAGTGAGAAAGTGAATACTGCACTGTTCTTTCAGTTAAACAAATGATAGCTTAATGAGATAATATTGATAGTGTAGTTTACAAGAATGCAAAACAAAAATATTTATAGCTACTAAATAGCTTTTTTGAAAACTGATAAGTGTGTATTAATAAAGATGTACATTGCCTTATTTTAAAATTAGTATTAAGTTTTTAAATTTTAGGGTTACTGATTAAGGTTAAGATGATTGTTTTTATAAATCTGTAATATTTACTTTAAATTTATTGAGATTTGTTTATTTGACATAAGAAATCGAGTTCAAATGTTTTAAAAACATCCCATGCTATTTACATCAGAGTTTAATAATTTGTGTAATCTTTATTTCTAAATTATTAGTTATCAGTAACTTTCTTGTAAACGTGAAAAATTTCAACTATGTGGCAGCATACTGAATACTAACAAAATGAACTCTACTTTTAATTATGCTGTTTTAGCAACTCTAGTTTAAAAGTTCTAGCATGACTGTTAATTCTCATTAACCAAAATATATATGATCAATATCTAACCAGAATATGGACATTAAGAAGGACTTAATGTTTTCTCACATGTTTACAAGAAAACTTTTGGGGGTATATTAAATATTTAAAAACTACAATAGGAACAATATATTAAGCAGTTGAAATACCCAACTCCACATATTACCAGTAAAACATAAATGACTAGCTTGAACATCCTATATGAGTATTTATTTTATGTACACACATACCTAGTATTTTGATATTAAACTTCTGCTGTTCTGTTTTTGTGCAACAAAGCATAAACTTCATTTGAGTTTATTTCATACCTCTAAGTTCACATATTTAACCTTACTGTCAGGTCATACATATGCTTTTTAGGCCTAAGTCGTGTATTTTATCAATGTAAGAGAATTAATAAGGCCTTCTGATGTTGCAAATGATACTATAAGAGTTACAATATGATTTAAACATAAACAGACCCACTTGAAACTGTTTTAGATTTACAGTTTTGTTTAACTAATATTAAATAAAATGACACAGATAACAGTTAAACTGAAAACAAACCTTTTATTGTGCTAAATAAAGGATATATATATATATATATATATTCATATATATTTATGCGTGTGTGTGTATATATAGATATATATATAGATATTTATACTGAAACCAACAAATCAGAAACCTCCTGTGATGAAGTGCATTTTAACAACTGAAGAAGTAAAGCCTATATCGAGGGATATGTAACTGTGAGTATCTGATATGTTACTTTGGGAATGATGCTCCTACAAGTCAAACACACATCTTGTTTTAGTATAATACAAGCTAACAAAAGGCATCTGATACACACATTTAATTTACACTTAAACTTCCATAAGAGGCAACATGAATTAAAAAGCAAGAAATGCTGTAGAAAATGGTGGATTGCCAAATAAACATACCAATACTAGGCTTCATTTTAAAGGATAAAAACATGTAGTATGAAAGGCCCACTGCCATTAGTAACACCTTTCAATATTTAAACATTCAAGTTCTTACTATTCTATACAAAGTTGAAGTTGGAATAACAATGATATATTTAAACGTTTATTCACACCCTTTGGTGCTGGTACTAGACAAGTTTTTAGCATTCCTTTCCACGAGTAATTGCATATCCCAGAGTCCTTGATGGAGTTATGAAAAGATCCAGAAACAATTCTGTAATTTTATGGATGTCTTCATTCAGCTACATGTCAAATTATCTGGGATATTATGCTACTAATTCTTCAGGAGTCTTAACAAACATGATTTGTAGAGAATGGGAAAATGAAAAATTCTTAAACTATGCATATTAAAACCAGTAATAAACTTCTCAATTAATTGTAACATTTTTTTTATTACCACTTCTTACGAGTAAAGAAGTTTGGTGGTTTTAACATGCCACTTTAAGAATATGGAGAACATGTACAATAAAAAAAGAATTTACTTATTCACTGAAATACATTTACAATGAACACAGCCTTTTAATCTACTAAGATATCTCCACAGCATCAGCTCAACTATAATAGCCCTTTTTCTTTTATTAATAATGTTAATACATTAAAGAGGAATATTATGAAAGTAGCTGAACATATTGTTCTATTTTTCCAGGATTTACTTTTAGCTTCAAAATAGTCATTTACTACAGTACCTGAAGCTTGAAACAATACATTGTACTATGTTGACATTTTTTTTGTTTTCTATAATTGATCTTGTGCAAATTATTGGTACAAAATTGATATATATATATATTTTAATGATAGTCACTGCCATCTAGTTAGATGAAAGTAAACAATTTTTTTTATTAATTGTAACAGCAGAAAATTGTGCTATGTCTATATTAAAATGTTATACTCACTCTGTAATTATATTATTGTCAATAAAACTGATACAGTTCTCAGCTGCTCATGGTATATCATTTGTTATCTAAAAGCATTTTTGAATTTAATTTTACTTAATTCTTTGTCTTTTAAAACAACAGTGTGAGTAGACTCTGTGGTGGTACAACCAAAACCAACAAGGTCTTTCTTGAAGTTAATATGAATTTTAAAATGTGCAGAAACAGGACAAAAATTAATACATAATATCCTTAGTTGTTTATAGGTGAGTTTCTCCCAAGTGATCATTTTTAAATTAAATGATCATCTCTTGAGGCTTCCAGCAAAAAACATCCTACACCTACCTATAAGCACTCAAACTTTACAGGATATGCTGAATCATGAACAACAGAGGTCTTAACTGTGAAGAATACTGCATGTTATCTCAAGTATTATTCAGTTAGTATCCTAAAATGTGTGTATCCAGGCTCTTTAAATCCCCAGAGCAGACAATGCAGGCTTCTTGTTTGCCCCCATTTGTTTGAAAACTTCTCTAATAATGAAGAAGCTCCTGTAGTTGAACACTGAAAGGGATAACTTAGTAACTTCACAAGCTCATTGTTACTAATGCCAAATATCTCATAAGAATGAAGAAAATGCAGACCAAATCCTTCTCTAAAATGTTGTATTTATATGTATATTAAATGGTAATCCTGACCTACGTATAAACAACTACCACTCTGAATAAAAGCATTACATTAAAAATTTGCTCTCATGTAACAAATTTTCTTAAAGCAGGTGGAACTCACAAAGATACTCTATTAAGCAAACACATAAGATTATTAATTAGTAAACTCTTGTTATTCTAACAGTACATCAAAGAAAGCTTGTTTTCATAAGTTTTACATTCTCTTTCCATTTGTGGTGAAACAAACCAGATATCAACAAAAGCTGTAATTTTCTTACAGCTGTATTAAAATCACAGAAGAAATCTTTGGCATTCAGTATTAGGAAGGAAAAAAAAACTGTTACATAAAAAAGTGTTTTTAAATGAAATTTTTCAAAATTCAGGTGACTAGTTTTAGCAGTTACTGAGGAAATGTTATAAAACCCCACAAAATAAATTTCTAGGCAACTTTAAGTTTTATCTAACAGACTTTTTCACAAATCCTGAGTTAAATGTTTCTTTCAGTTGTTGATTTTTTTTTTCAAAGAAAACATGTCACACCAGTTAAATTGTTTGTGTTGGAATCTACAATATTATCTTATTGATTATACATTAAATTTATCTGCTGAGCTGTCATTAATAAAAATTTCAATTTCTACTGCTTATAGCTTATTTAAAAAAATTAAGTTTTTGCTTCGATCCTAAATAAGATAGGAGAATTAACCTTTACTATATTAATCTCATCATATTTAAAAATTATTTCTTCCTGTGAAAAGAAGTTACATTGCTAAAGCAGCTGGTTTAAGACTTGTAACATCATTTAATCTATAATTAGATGAAATTAATGTAAGAAGGCTTAGGATGCTCATTAAAACAATACTAGATTACATTGCACAAGAAAATAATACTTAGAGACTCAAATTTACATATCTGATAAGTTCTATAATAAAAAAGTTAAGAGAGACATTCACACATAGTTTCAGTTGAAATTACACTAAACTCATAACAATAATATTGTTTAATATACATTCAACAATGCTAATGTTACAAGTATACACAGAGTTATCTAGTTGCTAGTCTCAAATACGACATTATACCAAATTTCCCTGTTACCACACAGTATTCGAGTGTATGGACATAATAACTTTGTTTCTTACAAGGTGTCCTTGCTACTATGGCAATTGAGGTTTGAATAAATTGACTTTATTACTACCAATGTTATAGACCAGAGAAAATTTTCATCTATCTATTACTGAACTGTGTTTATTGTTTAGGAGAGCTCTGCAACCATTAATGTGGACGTCTAGTATGAATGTGTATTACAGGTACTAGTGCACATACAGAGGAGATGAGAATCTATTAAAGAGACTGTTTATTGTGGGATCTTGTTAAAGGAACTCTTGGTATTGTGAAAAGGTTCTCTTTTACAATGGGAATGATAATCTGTAAAATTTTACATCTGGAAAAGGATTTTTTGTTTTCGTGGAGATGAGTATTCATTATCATTACACGATACTCAAGGTTGGGAGTCTGTTGAAGGACCTTCCTATTACAATGAGAGGTATATTAATGCAGTACACCTAATTTACTAATATTTGGTATTAAATTTATACAAATAACATTATAGTTTTGTGCAAAAAAGACCACACAGTTTTATGATACATAGACAACTAATTTGTCCAGGCAGATAACCACACGATATGTAGCAATTTTTACATTGTTGTTCATCACAGTACACCACCACGCTCTTTCTCCGTAATCTGGGAGAAGAGTGTTGACTAACCTTTCCTAAAATTCCATCTTCTGCTACAGCGTTGGTGAGAAATAAGAACAAGTAGGCAACCTTTTATACGAGTCAGATACATATACTGGCAGAATAATTAATTACACAGAACAATTGGGAAACCTGGTTACCTTTTATCAGCACCAACCAATCAGGAACAGCAATATGACTAATTGTACCTGTCCTTTCTTGTTGGCCAGTCAACAGACCTCTCACAATTTACAGTAACTTCAGGTTCGTTCAACAAGAAGGCAACAGTGACTCTTCTCTATGCAAGAGAAATGCTCATAGGGACCATCTCACTAACTGGAAGAGGAGAGCCCCCAGAAGGACAGGAATGGAAGCACAAACTAGAGAGCCTCTCCCACACTGCTTGATTGTTTTCTCCTGGAATACATTGGAGCACATGAGTAAAAAAAAGGGTATGTTTTTTTTATTGCTTAAAAAGAAGGTAAACATGTTTTTTAGAATGAAAAAACTCAATAAAGGTAGAATCATGATTATTTCATATTTTGCTGCAATGCTTTCTGTCTTACACAAAGCTGTCTAATGGTTTCAGGACTGTAAAATTTGCAGTTTTATTAACCTTAAAAATTTTAGCTTTTCAGGATAATTGGTACTGTCATCCCCACAAAATTATTACTGTACATAAATATCACTAAGCACAGTAGTGCGTAGTATGTAGGGATGGGCCAAGAAAAAAAAATGGCTGCCACCTTCAATCTATTACTCTATGATGCTTACAAATAACTGCTAAAGTTGCATTATAGCCTTATTTGAGCATCTGATTGCCATTATCGAATATTTCACAGCTTGTAAGACTCCAAATATCATGGAAAACTGTTGTTAAAGTGGAGAATTGGGAACTAGCTAAAGAGTCAAAGTGTTCATTTTTCTTTTCCCACACTAGCCAAAAAATGTGTGAAGTTTTCACAATGGCTTTAGTATGACAGAAAAGCATTTTAAGAGCACTTGGGAACAGGTTATCACTAAACACAACAGTACTTGGTATAAGCTAAAAAAGAAATTCATAATTTAGCGTAAACAATGTCATCATTACGCCTTGAAGTTAGCTTTCTTACGGAAATTTGGTATTCCTTTAAAACGTACAGGGTGAGACAGGAATTACTAGTCAATAATAGATGAATATTAGGTGACTGTAACATGTAGAACAATGCTTTGTATACTTTATAACTGGTGACTTAAGGGAGCAAACCCCTATATTATGTATGAAGTGAAGAAGTAAAAAAAAAATCAATACACACAGTCACAGAATGTAAAATGATGTAGGGATGACAATGCTAGAAAGAATGCAAACATGAATAAAGGGATGATATAGCATTATTAATCATCACCAGTCATACTCTTGACTTCTTAATGTTGAGGAACCTACAGTAAGGAAAGAAAAACGTATATTTTTTCATTGCACTTGTAGAATGACCTCAGATATTGATATTATACCATACACTTGGCTACAATAGCTGACAAAACTGATATGGTATTATTAATAATCTATTGTAGCCAAGTGTATGGTATAATATCAATATCTGAGGTCATTCTACAAGTGCAATGAAAAAGAAACTGATATGGTATTATTAATAATCTATTGTAGCCAAGTGTATGGTATAATATCAATATCTGAGGTCATTCTACAAGTGCAATGAAAAAACTGATATGGTATTATTAATAATATATTGTAGCCAAGTGTATGGTATAATATCAATATCTGAGGTCATTCTACAAGTGCAATGAAAAAAAAAACTGATATGGTATTATTAATAATATATATTAACATTTAATTATTAAAATAACAGAAATGTTCACTTCACTTATCAACCTACTTCAATGAAATTGTTTAGAACAAGTAAGTATTATGTAGGGATGGCAATTCCAAAAAAGTACAGAAACAAGGTAGGGATGAATACACAAATCCATACCCAAATCCCTACATAAGTAGACAAATTGTTCCAAGAATAACTTTTCTCTACCACTAAATGTTGAATTCCTGTCAGTTGCATGAATTCAGGTTTGAATAAAAGCATTTAAACTGAATAGTGCTTTACAATCTTATAGTGGCTAACAAACATAAACTTGTAAGACTGACTAAGTACTTACTGGCTACTTATGTAGGGATTTTTGTATGGTTTTGTATATTCATCTCTACCTTGTTTCTGTACTTTTTGGCATTGCCATCCCTACATAATATTTAACTTTTGCAAACAATTTTTTATTACTTGTATAGGTGTATTGATACATTTTAACATTTAATACTGAATGGTAGAAGGAAGGGAAAAAATCAGTATCTAATTTGTTTGGGAAGGCACTGAGTGAGCAATCTTACAAAAATCAAGAGAATATATTTTAAGTATACTTTAGTCTTACAAGTGGAAAGAGTAAAATATAGTACTTACTTGAGGATGATAGTTTATACATGAGACTGGTCTCTTGCGGTACATACTGTGTTTCATACGTAAACATCTCAGGGTTTCATTATGTTGTATCTCTTTGGATTCAAGCTTGACTGGAGTGGTTACACATGGACAATCCTTGTACACCACCAACATCACCAAATTGGTGTAGGGAACTTGCTGCACTATGAAGTGCCTGGAATACAAATTCAGAAATGCTCTGTAGTCTCAATTTATGTTGTTTTTTTGTTAATCTTAGTAAAGTAGCATTTATCCTGTACAGTTTTATTGTTAAGATGCATCTAATATATGGTTTAACATAATACTGCAGTCATTCATAGATTCATTTATCCTGTACAGTTTTATTGTTAAGATGCATCTAATATATGGTTTAACATAATACTGCAGTCATTCATAGATTCAGTGTACCTCTTTTTTAAACAAAAAGGGATAAAGCGAGTCATTTTGTGGTATTAACCTGCCTAAAGTTTATGAGGAGCTTTCCACAAATGTTGATGTATGCCAGCTCATTTACTTTGGTAATAAGCAGATTACCCTATTTCGAACACAATAATTGGCATATATCTGGGCTATAAGTTGAAACTACATTTTTAGGTTCAAATCTATCTATTACCATAAGCTTTTAATCAAATCAAACTTCCTACAATGTCATCAGTGGTCATCAAGGGCCTCAAATTCTAGTTATGATCACAAAAGATATACCTAGTTATCCAATGTTAAGCAATGGAAAATGTGGGTGTATATTCCCACATGTCTGTCAAGTTATTTTTGTAATTGACAAGTGACATGCAATTTTTTAAATATCCACTCTCCACACCCTCCAATCGGAAACCCTAGAACCATCCCTGCTTACTGGTATGGATTATTATTAAAATTCAAATTATATACATTATAAAGTATGATATGGTTTTGAAAAACAATACAGAGATGAGGTAAGCAAAGATGATTGTTTTTTATTGTTTAAAACATAAGAAAACTGCTTATACTAAGAATTAGATAAAAATTGAATAATCCAAAGTTTCACATACACACATGCTGCAAATATTATAACAAGTAATCTGGAGGTAGCTCCTTACTATATGATAATTGTTAAAAAAAATACAAAAAATGTTTATAAATTTAACACATGAAATTAATTTTTTACTGTTATCAAGAAAGTACTAAAGACATAAAATAGGATAAGACTTTTCCAAAATAGTTTCTGTAAAAATCAATTAAGATTGGGAACAATAACACAAAAAACTTACTTGTCACAGCCTGAAGAGTGACATCTGGAAAGGCGGCCTTTGATGGGTTCTTCAGCACTTTGTGGCTGCATTTCATAGAGGTCTATTTCTTTATCGCAAGGTCTGGGTCTAGTCCTGTTGGGCAACATGTCAGCCATGCTGAAACTGTATGCATCATAATAATCTGTGAAAATCAATAGAAATCATTAATCTACCTGTGATGAGAAAATATTTACACAGAACATCAATCATCCAAAGTTGTACTATTACAAGCTTCTTGCTTTGTACTGGACTTATTAAGACTTATTAAGCCCATGTATATAAATGCATATGTGTACATGAACTCTGGCAATGGTTCTTTAAATACTGTTGTAGGCTATGGTTTTTATTTAGACATCTCTAGTGTTTTTTGGGCTAGAGAGTGTGTTGATGTTATGTAATGAGTGCATGGATTAATGTGTAAAATTCTCTTGAAAGTTTAGTTAAAAGTGACTTTATTAGTAGGAAACACATGTTAGGCAAAAAACAAATTGTTTGGTCTGCCATTTGGTAGTTGCTGTAAATTCTGATTTTTTTGTCCAGTCATATTTATTAATTTACAGCATATATCCCTGAGACTGTATTCTGTTAACTGATGGTGTGTTGTACAGTGTTCCAACAACTTGGTATTACATGTTTAGTGCTCCACCAATCTGGTGTTATATAGTAATTTCAGTATTAAATTAAAATAATGCAATATGTATTTAATTATTTATAGTATTAGCTAGATTAATATATAACATTAATTTTTTCTGAAAATACTGTTAGCAGCAAGAGTACCCAACAGATGACCTAAGGTAGAGTGGTCATAAAGGCTTTTTGTAGTTTGCCTGCCACTAATGTTATAACTAAGACTGTTTATGAATTGTAATTATTATCGTAAAATTTTAGAAGCTCTTCTGATAGCAGTTTTTACATAGCTATTGTATAGTGTTCTACCAACCTAGTGCTACATGTAGTGTGGTGTTCCACCAATATGTTGTTACACGTTGTGTTGTGTTCCACCAACCTGCTGCTACATGTAATGTGGTGTTCCACCTACCCAGTGTTACATGTTGTGTTGTGTTCCACCAACCCGGTGCTACATGTAGTGTGGTGTTCCACCAACCCGGTGCTACATGTAGTGTGGTGTTCCACCAATATGTTGTTACACGTTGTGTGATGTTCCACCAACCAGGTGTTGCATGTAGTGTGGTGTTCCACCAATCTGTTGTTACACGTTGTGTTGTGTTCCACCTACCCAGTGTTATACATTGTGTGGTGTTCCACCAACCAGGTGTTACATGATGTACAATATCCCTTCAATCTAAACAAAAAGGTTTTTACAAAGAAGCTCAAATATCTCCTGATATTATATAACATCTAAGTAACTTGTGTAAGGTATCCTACAAACTTCTTCTTGTACTTTAACATACCTGATGCTATAGCCCATTCTCCACCCCACCAACTTAGCAAGTTGAACTCCAACATGAACCTAAGATTCAGACAAACATGATTTATTTTTGATCATTTTATGTTGTAAAGAAACTTCAAGTTGAGTTTTAGTTCCATTTATTAACCAAACATCAAAACACCACCATCATAACACTACTCTCTTAACAAGGAATTCATTTAAACATTTACCTAACTTCAACCCTCCAATTACCTACTTGTTCCTGTACTGTTCACTACTTGTGGTGTTTACCTATTGCATTATATTGTAATTTTAATCATTAAGCCACACCCAGCCCATTGATGTAAAGAACTGCCTAAACGATTGAATGACACCACTCATTTTCTAACTAAAATACATACAAGAATCCAACAGTAACTAGTATATTTAATTGTAAAATTCATAGTTCTTTTATTTAAATATTTTTTGTGTGACTCATATGACATTAAAGATCCTCCTACTAATAACAACATCATGGATCCATAAGCAATTTCATGCATATAGTACAGAAAAATATGTTTAAAAAAAGGTAATAGGGTAGAATAAATAAATTACATACTTTCTACTAACTTAAAACTATGTTATTTATTTGCTTTTATGGAGTTTCTAGAATGAAGGAATCCCAATTATGTGCTTAATTAATATATTTTTAAATTTTAACGATTTTTATCAGTTATTAGCACTCCAACAATAACAGTCACTCAACATCATAAAGAATACCCTAGGTGAGAAAGTTATGGATTTACAAGTTACTTTGAAATATCTATTTTCTTGTTATTTCATTATATTAAAGAAGAAATATATTATGTTTTTCCAAATATTTTTCCATTATAAATATTAAAGATAAATATGAATCCAATCAAAGTTTTTGGTGTAATTTTAATTAATACTTACAAGGCAAACTTCCCCCACATCCAAAGAATTGTTGAGTAGAACATTTTGAATGGCTGTGGAAAGTAATATGACTGTAAACAGGAAATACTAACAAGGTAATATTTCAAAGCAGAACATTTTAAACCTTGTTAGTATTTCCTGTTGAAAAAAATCACCTTACTTTCCACATCTATTGAAATATTACCTTGTTAGTATTTCCTGTTGAAAAAAATCACCTTACTTTCCACATCTATTCAAAATGTTCTGCATTGAAATATTATTCAAAATGTTCTGCCCTTGTTAGTATTTCCTGTTGAAAAAAATCACCTTACTTTCCACATCTATTTGAAATATTAGGCAGAACATTTTGAA